TAATCTGCCAAAATTCAAAAAAATTTAATTTTTAATATAATTGCAAAAATTAATTTCACGAAATAAAAAAATGATTTAAGATCATAAGTAATAGGTCAGATGATCACCGTTCCAAAAATTGTAGGACCCCAAAAAATCCATCTGTGGAAAAGACAGGAAATAATTAGACGTACAATAATTTTAATATTTCCATTCTTCTCTGTTTTTTTATTCTTTTGTTATTGGATTTCTTTCCATAGCCAAACCATGGAAGGCAGAGTTTTTTTTGTGGAGAAGCAATAATTTTTGCCCACAAAACTCGAAATAATCTTAGCCCCATAAAACGGAAAACAATACTATTAAATAGGGTATACAATGGCTAAAAGACGATGTGAGCTAATTACGAACAATTTTATATTTAGTCTTGTTAGAGAAAATACAAAAGAAAATTATAAATACGGTTGGAGTTATATAAATAAAATAATCAAAAGAAACATTATGACAAACGGAGAAATAATAAAATAGAGGAAATATGATTGTTGATTTAGTGACGTTATTGAAAGGAATGGTTGCCTCTGTTGCACACATTTTCCTTAAAATAGATTCGTCACCACTATTGTGCAAGAGAATTGATGACGTCGGTCTCATATAATACAATAATTGAAAATAGTTGACTAGCTCCTCGTCCATTCCTTAGGCGAATTTAGAATGTTCACATTTGTATTACCGAGTTAGAACTAAAATTATTTAAACTACTAAGAACAAGACACTTGAAAGCAAAGAAAGAAGAGAAAGGAGAAATTTAGAGGGAGGATAGAACTCCCAAAGTTTGAGGCGTGGAATAAAGGGGAGATCATCTTAAATAGTATTAGGATGAGAAAGGGTTTCAATTTTTCATTAATTTGCATTAACATAAAATTTTACAATAGCTATTACAGATTTGTAAACACCAATTTAATTGAAAAAATTAATTAGAGAATTGAAACATATTAAATTTTTTTTTCCAACAAGTCTTTGTTTGATTTAGCTAAAAAAAGTTTTTAATAAAATTTGATAAAAGTTGATTAAATGAATGATTGAAAAGTTAATAAAAGTTATGAATCTCATGAAATATGTGGTTAAAATTAATTATTGATTTTAAACTTAAATTTTTACCAATTTTTTTAATTAAAAAAACAAGAACTTATATCTTGTAACCATTGTGGTTATCTTAGGATTGTTTTTAAAATCTTATATTTTAATGGTCAATGAATATAATTTTTGTCATATTCCTCATTAAATGCGCAGTACGTGAAAATCATGTAAAATGTTAGAAACAATGAAGAATTTTAATGTACCTTCCAGTAGTCCGTAACTGTAAATTCAATGTTAGCCTT